ACATGTTCGGCTAAGGTTAAGCGTGCGGCTGGCCGTGCGGTAGCACTGGCGGAGTCATGGGGTATCGCTACCCTCCAGCCTCGTTCCTGTGCATTTTTGAGCGGAAAAAGTGGCATGCTAGTGCAGTTGGAACAATTCACCTCACACATTCCAAGAACCAGAATTCACGGAGGTGAATGTGCAGTTTGTCCTTATGCGCAGAAAGTTTACCAGAGTCGATTGGCTCGTGAACGTCTTCAGCACTCCTCCAAACTCTCTTTTATTCCACAGTTCTCTCCATTTTCTATTACTCATAATGATTCCTATGTAGTAGAAAGTACGAGCAGCCATTACTAGTATAAGACCCTTGCTCACGCTTGTGAGTCCTTATTCATGTTCAGTCAACAAAATGAGGTCATACCTTCAATGACTAGTCTTACTTCAAATTTGATAACACGAAAGTTTGTTCAGTTACTGGCTACAAAGTGTACATTTCTTATCGGTGACGAGACCAAACATCTATTATATGTTTCATTGAAATTGATAAAAAGTGAAGATTTTCGAATGAACGGTAGGCTACACAACGTACCCTTTCAGGAAACATATTCCATTGCTCATAAGAGCGCGCCTTGATGGGCAGCATTCGCGATTCCAGTACACGTATTACCATACTGACGATACCTTGCAGCGATGAGAACTCGTTTTGAATTTTTCGAATTTGATCTCGAATTCTTTCCACTCGGGAGTTGTCCAAAGAGTTGATGACATCATTAACGCGAGCCAAACTGGACGGACGCAAAGAGATTCTGAATTATAATTTCGATATACAAGTGTGAAAACTACAAATACATTTGCCACAAAAATGCACATTTGTTGTAATTATTCCCATTTCAGCTGACAGATAGGAAGACAAAAAGGACCAAAAGATGCTGAATGAGATTTCATTGTAAATTCAAAATTGAAGTCCGGATTTTTTACGGCATGTAGCTCCCACAACAAAACGAAATGGACCGGAGTTACTGCACAAAATATTTCGACTGTTTCTACAGTTTCCTTAAGGTTCTTCCTTCTGCGCTGAGCTCCGCAGCATCGATGGGATGTACATCGTAACTCCCAAATAAAGGTGAGCGCGGTGAAAGAGACGCTGTCAGCACGTTCATTCACAAGACTTAGCCGATTTCACATAGCAGTGCTGCGTTGCTGCAGAACCAAAGTAATGGGTATCGAAAGTGATATACACTTTGTAGCGATGCCTAGAAGCGAGCTAGTTAACTCGACATAATGAATCACTTCCGCACTGGATTAACCGTTAACTCAAGATAGGTCCTCGTAATTGGGTTATACTACTGAACACACTTCGCAAAGGTCGATAAAGTGAACAGAAGAATAGTAGGAACCATAGATTGTGAGTGTGGCCAAACAGTCGGTGCCGGCCAGGCAGAGAATCGAAACCGTACTACGCTTTCCCGGCAGAGTGAGCGCTCGCTCCGTTACGGCCACCCGAGGGTCGCTCTTAACCTCTTCTAAGTTTAAACGGAGTGGCGCATGTAAGGCTAGAGTGTAACGGCGAAATAAAGCCGTCAAGCTGAGAGGGTAAAAGCGGCCCTGGTGGCGTAACGGATAGCGCACTCGCCCGGAAAGCGTGAGGTGCGGGTTCGACTCCCGCCTGGGGCACGACTTTTGCCCAACTCAGCATTCTTGTGATAACATTCCGAACGCGTACTGCGGCGTAAAACAGCAGTTACCATAACAAAACAGCTTCAAAAATAGTAGGGACAAATTTTCCAGTAATAATAGTAAATATGCGGTTTGAACGGGTGAGGTCCTAGAGAGCCAATTCCAAATTTGCCACTATTAGCCCGAGTGAGGGTACATCGTTTGAATAAACCGCGACACAATTACGATGAATGCGTTCAGTAGATTCGATTTCTGTGCGGTGTAGCAACCTAATGGAGGAATAGTGCTTTGCCCTTGCTTTTTTCTTTTTGGCTCTTCGTTGTTGGAGGTACACGTTCACACGGCTGTGAAGTGGAAACCGAAACTTCCGCTACGCAGCATCCTTCTTCACACACACACTAAGACCAGATGTCTCATCTTCCACAGTCCATGGGTATTGATCGATGGAACGATCCTGAGCGAGTCCACAAGGCCGAACTAGGCCAGGTGTTCTCTATTTTGAAAGCCCAGCGACCTTGGCCATGAAAGTATTAAAGGACTATTTTCGTGGCGATCCTGACTGGGTCCGAACAGGCACCATGCGACATATCCCACCATCCTCTTACGCATTGGACCACCCATGTCAGCCATGCGCTGCGATCTGTAGGTCAAAATAGGAATGTAGTGGAGTTCGAGAGGAGCGGGACTGCATAACAATCAGTTGGGAATTGACTCGCTCATTCCTCGCAGACATGAATCTATGGATTCTGGCGAAATTGCAGCAAAAGATGGGCTAAAAGATTAATTTCCATCCAGTCTCCTTGGCGATTCTTCAGGTTCTGCAGAAAAAGTGAATCTCAAAATCGATACATATATGTGCATTTTTTTGTGTGGAAAGCAGCCTAATGGGGGTGGCGCTCCAGTTAGCAAGGAACAGTGAGAGTTTTTGCGTGGAAAACAGCCTAATAGGAAGAGCGTTCCAGTGAGGAAGGCACAGTGTGAGTTGAAGCTTCCACCGTCTTATGAATTATCCATAACGTGGCCGATACTAGATTTTCAAAGGCATAGTGCAATACACTTACAAGTGCCAGTCGATGTAATCAGCAAACGGGAGCACATGATTAGGCGTGAATATCACGGGAATAACAGTTGCCTGTAAAGCTCTGTAAAAAACAGAGGTAAGAGAATACGTTTTATTTTTTTTGAAGTGTGGCATTCGCTTATCAGTGAATCATGACAAACTTCGGATTCCTGAAAACATTTCCTAATAATATGCCCACGGTACCATATTGGATAGGTGAAAGAATGTTACCTCGAGCGCCTTCTTCCCAATCTACGACTTTTCCGGCAGCATCACATACCACAGACGGGCGATTCACGCACTCAGTGAGGATAGTTGCACCCTACAACAAAAATATCTCTAAAAAAGGCACCCGAACCAAATTTATCCCTATCTCGGGCCCTAAATGTAAAAAAAATATTGGAGGATGCAGAGGGAGAAGCAGGGATGGTTACCGGCTGCCCATCTCAGGTGTATCTCGGTGAAAGACATAAATCATAGTGTTCAGAGCTGAACTCTTAGGGACAGCCACGCTTCCAGAGCCCACTCAAAGCTGGGACTTTAATCGTAAAAATGACAAAAGTCCCATCTTGAGATGCGAAATGATTGCGGACCCATTTCCGGACAACTTCGTGAGCGGACGAAGGTTCTAAAGGAACTTAGTCCTCACAGGATGATGAGCGTCCTTTCTGGACGGGACCCCACACTTCCGCGACGAGGCCCTCCGAAGACGAGCACCGCAGCCATTTGCGATCGCCATCATAGTCAACCCCGAAATAGACTACTGGGCCCCCCTCGTGGAGGGTACGTCAACCCGCTCTCTCTTTATTGCTTGACATTATGTGTAAAAAACTTCGCCAATAAGAAGAAGAACTTTGCATTTGATAAACTCACCTTTGTGCGACCAAACACCTGGACGCCTTCTTCCCGTAAAGATGAGGAGGAGTTAAATAACATTACCAGTAAATTGTGGCGTGCTGATGGAGAAAGTGACTCAGATTTAGTGAGGTTACCAAAATATGGAGGTAGCGATATATCCAAACGATGTCGATACAGATGGATAGGTATAATGGGACTGTAATATATGGATTTCGCGAAGCCAAAAGTCTATAAGCCAAAAATTGGGGGTAGAAAGAGGCAAAACCAACCTGGCCATTATGTGACGATGACTGTGATTCCACTGCCCCATTATAGTCAAGATTAGAACATTGTGAAATCTATAAAATATTTCGAAATGTTGCGTAGATTTCGTCAGTGCATTATTGAAGGCTTTCCTAAAATCTATGAAACAGGGCAATAATTTGACGGACCTTTCATTGACCATATTCGCTACTGCATGCGCAGCATCGATGCTAGGAAAACGGTGAAGATTGAGGAAATCGACACCAGGGAAGAATACGCAGGCTTGCTGAGGATCAGAAACTGAATATGGCAGCAACATTTCACGGACTTCATAAAATTCCTTCGACGGAATAGGAGTAAGTACATTTCCACTCTATAAAACACAAAACACTGAATTAAAAGGTGCATGGACAACAAATCAGAAGGATAGGATCGACACGTCCTAGAGAATGAATGAAACGACAAAAGCCGAGCATGTAGGCGCTAACCGGATGGCCATGGACTAATGAAACTGCGGCTCATGCGTCCGCGCATCCCAGCTCGCTCTGCTTCGAGCCAGGATTTATGACGCGAAACGACGCCACACGCGCAGGCGCCTATCGCCCTAGACCGGTGCGACGAACCTTCGCAGCGAATCAAGCAGGACTTGGCTTTTTTTTTTAATTCCGCAGCTTTTCAAGAGGAGGAAATAGTTGCTATTTTTAGCGCAAGATAGGCATAATAATACCCCTAACCGTCCCTTGCTAGAATGAATAAGCTATGTTTTTGGTAAATCGAACCACCCACGCACCCGCGAGTGGGCGACTCGTGCACCAGAAGTAGGGTGAAAAACCGGGCCCTGCCTCAGTCAAATTTTCAGAAAGAATACATGACAACAGTAACATACGTACTAACGAGCCCCTTATTATTGGCTGTATTGTACACACAGGGAGCAGTTCCGATACCTACAATACAATTAAATTACGATTCAAACCTTGAACTCTATCTAGGCCGATGATGATGCAACGTAGAAATGCTAGCTATTTGGGGTGCAGTGCGAGACCTTTTGCTGAAACTACCAGTGTTCCTAGCTAGTTGGCTTAGTATGTGCAGCCACTCTTCGTTCAACTAGTTAATGCCGCGCGCTTGACACCATTCGCGCAGTCCTTCCACCGCGTCGCTGCAGCATGGATTTCTCGCACTACATTTAGCCACTTCAATACAAATTGAGGAGCACTTCAGCTTGTAGGGTCATTCTGATAATCTCCACCGATCACTCCCAATGCCTCCTGTGGGGACCCGAAGCTACCTATAAGGCTATGCAGTACCAGGAGCTTCGCTTACTTGACAGTCTACAAGCCTCACCAAGGTGTGACCTGTAATTTAACAGGTACTAATGGAAAGAACCAGCGAAAGTACAAGTGCCCATCCCAAAGCGAACGGCGCCTCAATTGATACTAAAACAAAAGAAACAGGGACGGAGGTAGCTCGGGGTGTCAAGCGGCGGAGCAGCTATGTCACGTTATATTATGTCTGAACACGTCTTCTTGAAGCCCGCAATCGGCATGTACACGACTTTCCTGTTCGGTAAGAGGGCGCAAGGAAGCACAAGTGTCGGAGCATGCTGGTCGCCGCGTGATACGCTCCGCACCCCCACCCCCTCCCCCCAACGCAGTCATAATGCTTGCACAAACGATATAACTTGTAAAGGCGCATAAATTGTAGCACAGAGGCAACCTCCTCCGCTGATTGTTGCGCTCTCTGGATGGCATCTTTGATGGAGTAGACCACCTTGGCGGCGCTACAATCCACGTCCTGCCCTTTGCCCTGTCGTTTGCAGGGATCATGACTGTACACTTCATATTCAGTTACTGGGAAGGGCGCGGTTGTGTACTTCATCTGAACGATGGTGCGCTGCGAATGACAACGGTTGTGCTTCAGGTAGAATATTCCCGCTTTGAGACAACAAATCAGGGCATCTGCTGGGCCCCTCCCCCACCTGGGGATGAGGGGCGTTTTGGTCGCAAATGGCTGATCCAAAGAAAATTTCTGCGCCCTATTGTCGTATTGTATACCCCCCCCCTGCTCCCTAGTTCGTGGCGCGGAAAAAACTTCCAAAAGTCCTATGCATTTTTTTGGATGGCTGAATCTAGTGGGTGTTTGGTGACGTTTTGGATGGCTAAATCTAGTAGCTTGCTTGGCTGGCGCGAGAATCCTCTTTCTCGTCTGGCGCGAAATTGGGGTAACGAAACTGAAAAATTTGTGGAGCGAAGAAGTAGAGAGTAGAAGGACTCGAGTCATATGATAGATATGATGGAGAAGGGGTCGTAAAGGAGGAAGTTCGGAGGCTCGTATTTTGCGAATAATATCTCCACTGACAAGACATGTCCTGATTGTAGTTATGTCCTTGACCAGCACAAGACAGAAGAAATGGTCCTAGAATGGAATTACCTACTAAAAACTCTAAACTAAATCCCACGCTAAACTCAAGTGAACAACCCAGCCACGCCTTTCTCATGCCCGTGACAATAAGAGCACATATGATCTCAAAGCAGGAAGAAAACACAAATTACAACTAATAAAAAGAGCAAGATTATAAAAAAACGCTGCACTTGCCTATGCAAATCGGAAGGGTCTACTGTTCTCGTCAATGTCCACACATTCACAACATCAACTTTCCGATGACGAAGCAGCGGTCGGAAATACAACAACAATATGGCTAGCGCTACGAAAAACCCGTACAGCCATTTCATAAGGCAAGCTAAAATCGGCTATTGTTGTACATCACATGGGCTTTCAATGAAAACCGTACATAGGGAAAATAGTAGAATACGATGGTGCTTGACCATTATCTTACACGAAACCTAAGCAAACTGGGCGAACTATTTATCCTATACAGACCATATCTCAGCACGTGAACCTGGCCTCGAATTCACAAATAAAACATGCAACCGTTACAATGGAACAATATAAAATGATAGAAATTTGAGGCAGTAATGTAAAATCAAACAGTCAAGCCTCTAGAAGACCGAACTATCGTACCTATCTTACACAGAATGCGTAAAAGAACAATCTCCTAAAACATACTACTCAACAACTGAACTAGTTTCCCTCAAAACTTGATCACGGAAGTCGGCGGCGCACTTCTCGTACGCCGGCACAAGATGAGCACATTTCAACACGCGGTTTTTATTTGCTTTCAAACACTCCATGATTTCCTGGAAAGTTCACTACAATATAAATAAACACGATATAAATGCACTACTGTTTAGTGATACGCTCGACTCCGCCCCCGACGACCCCGCCCGTTTATTAGTGAGTTGATTGAAATTTCGCTACTTTATAACTTTGTTCACCGACATCCATTTTTAGTGATCTTTTCACAAATATAATATAGACATAGAGGACAATTTAGCAACTGCCCAACCAAATGCGTAATAGGGCAGAAAATAGGTCGCCATTGGGAATCACGCTGCGATACTAGATGTTTGTACTAAAACGCGGTCTTCTTCACCTACAAGCCAGTACTTCTTTATATAGCACGGACCAACGGAGTGGACGTGTCGTCAGAATATGAGAATTTTCTTTTGACCAACTCCTTTCACCCCCCCCCTCCGATATGCGTCCATCGGCTGAATGGGTGGACAGCTCCGAAAAACTATCAGAAACAGAAAATTGAAAAATTAAATCTCCACTAATCCATGTAGGACCCCTTTACAGCGACCAAATGCAACCTGAGAGTTTGGACTACATAAACACTAAACCATGATATGCCCCTCTCGGAACAAGGAGCAGCGAGCAGTTCAGTCGTCGCCACCCTCCTCCTCCTCCCTCAACTACTTCGATACTAAAGTTTTCAAAAATGAAAAAAAGATAACTAACCTTCTCGTGGTCTTCACACACATTTTCTCGGTGATACTGGAAGAATCTTTCCTCAACTCGATCCAGAGTTTCGTTGAATATGCGTTTTCTCTCTTCATAGTCATCAGCCAGGCTCTGACTAACGACGTCTGCTTGCTAAAAATGTCTATAAAAGTGTTTGGAAATAGAACTCTCGACGGCTGTAGCATTCTCCTCACTCATTGTGGAGCCGCGAAAGTGAGAAACAGTTTTTTTGTGAGGGCTAGACTACTTGCACAACGAAGGAGGACCACAAATTACTTGAGCGACCTTGACTTTACTGTCTTTGAGACCCGGGAGCTTTCTGTCACTTTGCTTCTACCAAAAGTTCTCAGTCAGTTGCAGACTTGGTTCGACCAAAGTTTTGCGTTTCATTGCTATCACAGACCTAAATATGGCTCAAAGCGCAGGAAATGTTTACTATTACACCAAGCGCCCCTATGCTTCCAGATCTTTTCAACGGCATCTCTGCTGTATACATAGAAGACCAAAACTCGAAAAACTCTCATACATTCACACTTTTAAAAGTGAATTACAAGATGCACTCTACCACAGCGGTGGGCTACAAGGTGAGCTTCTCTTTCAACTTTTGGGCTTGTCGAGCGCTTCCCAGATGGTGTCAGGAACGCTGAGAGGGGAAGGGGACTCAGAAAGCTCGAGAATCGCTCAGAAAGAGACTATTCTCAAGCTCTGAGTCATGTTTAGGCCTTTGACAACGGCGAAACTTTGGAACGTTGGCCGTATAAAGTTCCTCACAACAACCTTGAGAAAGAAACACATTAACAGAACAGAAAAGTTACAGTTCGACCAGTGAGACTAGCCTAAAACATACTCCGCGGTAGAAAGTAAGGTGCA